AGGAGGATGCAAATTCATCACTCCACATCCAGCTCTCTTAGGGACCCTGCCCGAAGACCAGTGTCCATGTGCCTTTCTACATAAACTCAGGTTTACACGTGCACAAAAATGACACTTCCTACAAAGTATCCGAGAAGGCGTGCCCCGTCATTTTCTTCTCAGACTCTGTCCCTTGAAAGAGAGGGCTGCGCTGTGAAAACAGAAGTAAAACCGGGCTACACTCCGCCAACATACACACCCTGAAATATGTCTCTTTTTCGGAGCACAGGTAAAACTCCCTATTTTTCAATGCATAACCCTATATGGCTGGCCTCTCTTTATTCTGCCCCATCTAAATGTATGCATGCATTTTTTTCAAGGTTTCATTTCTCACCTTTGAAACAATCCTCTAATGTCAGACCACATTTTAAACTCAATAAAAAATAAATCAGAGAAGAGTAAAACTCTTTGAAAGTCATTTCCCTCTACCTTAGTGCTTGCTTCAGTCCTGGTTGAAAAGCAAGCCCAGAGCGTTTAAAACAAGATTTATGAAACAAGATTTAGGATGTTTTGCAATGTGCCTGTGGTTAAAAATGAACTCTGACAGGTGTAGGAGGCCGGAGAGGAGAAAGACCCATTTATTTTCCACTCTGGGCTTGAGGGTGCAATATCAGACTTCAATTATGCTACATTAATATTTCTGTATGTATCCATGAAATCTGAAATATGTAAATATGCTTATAATGGGTTCCATTCAAAGGCGCCCCATGTTAAACAGCCCTGTTTTTACCTTAGCTGAACTATAGCAATCTACCTTAGCTACCTAAGTATTACAGCACAGACATAACACAATGACTCAAGAAAACCTGCTGTTCAGCTGTAAATATGTGTAAGAATTTTAGTCACAAAGGGAGTAATAGTACTTTCTCGGAGCTGAGCCCCTCAAACCTTACTTTCCCTCCATAAGGGGAGGGTCCTTGCTTTGTAGGTTTGCTGGGCATGTGAAATGACTTGGCATGTCAAAGTTCTTTGAAAGCTGAGACATTTATCATATATTCAAAAACAATTCATGTGGATGATTACCATCCTGTGCCCTGTTCTACACTAGGACGAGCTCAAAAGGAGAAGCAGCCCTTCTCTGTGAAGAGTGTGGGTGAGCAGCTGAGAACAGCTAAGGGCGAGAGGACAGGGGCTTGGGGGCAGAGGCACACTGACAGGTCGTCGGCCTGCACCGCAGGCAGGGGGAGGACCCACCTGGCCACAGACAGAGCGGATGGCACTGTCTGGGGCCGCTGTGCACAGATGCACGTTCTGTGCACTGGGCAAAGGCACCTGTGCGGAGGGAGTGGCAGGAGGAGCTGGTACCAACATCCAGGCCCCTCCATGCAGCGCATCACACAGAGGGGAAAGGGCACCATACAAGGGCACCTTTCTGCCTCTAAGCATGCACCCAAGAGGCAGCACCTGCCCAGTGAATATCTTTTTCACATTTGCATTAAGGCCCCTGCAGGCTCCCAGGGGCCTGTCTCTGCTGGCTGGGAATGTGGGGTCCGAGGGGCGAATGGCCCCACAGGGTTCGGACACACTCACCAGGGGTGGCGGAGTCGCACTGCAGGGTGAGGCGAGCTCTGGCAGGGCCTTAGAAAACTGGAGTTGCCGCGACAGACGGTAGAGACATACTCTCAGGCCACGAGCTGCAGTACCTAGCACCTCATTTAGTTCTCACAACAACCCCAGGACAGAGGCATTATTCCAATTTCACAAACCGGAACACAGTTTGCAAAGGTTGAGTTACCTGATAACAAACTTGGCAAGCCAAGTCTGGAGGAAGGGTTGAAATTCAAACCCAGTTCTGTTTGACTGACAAGGTTCGTTCCACGGCATCAACTGACAGAGGGAGCGATTGGGAGCCTTCTCCCAAAAGTTACAAAAACTGCGTGTGGCTCTTCACTATGTGTGACCCAGGAGGGCAGAGTTCACACAGTCTCAGTTCACGACTTGCTGGAGACTTGGGGACTGGTGACTGGACACTAAAAACAGCACTGTTCCTTGCTCACGAAGGTTCTAAAACCCCTGGCAGTGGGGGCGGCGGGCGGGCAGCAGCCGGGAGCCCTTCCACCGGCCTGGCCCTGGCACACGTGCGCTGGGTGGCACCGGGAGAAACGAGTAGCCGGCCTCGGCCGCTTTAACCTTCTTCACGTGCATGTGAAGAGCTGGACACGGCTTTCAAGTCTGGCGTGATGCTTTTTATGATACTGTCACTGAACATATTTCCTGCTCTTTAGAATCTGATAAAAATTTCAAGCCATTATTTTTGTACTTTGCAATTTATCTTGAATAAATCTTTGAAACTCCTTGGACTGAAAACCTATTTCTCCTTCCTCTATTCAAATTGTACCTATTATTCAAAGCCCATTTCAAGTCTTATTTTTTTTTCCATGAGCTTTTTCTGTCTTCTCAATTACTCTAAAAGAGCCCCAATCACATCCCTAAAAGTCGCTTTGTACTTGCAGTACCTGCCCTTCCCTCCAGGATTTAATCAGGCGCCACGTGCTGATGGGCCCTCTCCTGACACTCTGCCTCCGTCATCGTTGGCGTTGTCCATCCCTTCAAGTTCTACCTGGTACAAACTCGCCAGCGTGTCTCTCTGCCCCGTAACTGTCTTGCTACCCCCCCTGACAAATATCATTCACGTGTTCTTTTCTAGTCATAATAATAAAGTTGTCATAAGTGAATGACTTGTGACCCGTTAGGGAGATGCGGGGTGTTGTGCTTCCAAGCCCTCTGGGACCGGCACAGGCGGGGACAATGACGGAGGACTCTGCGGAAATGTCACGTTCCCACCAGGCCTAAGGAAGCGTTTTCCTGACCCAGGGCCTCCTGCCAATCATCTGCACTGGAGCCATGCCTGCGGACTAAGGTGTTCAGGATGAGGCGGTTTTCCTGGAAGAAGCAGTATATTTTCACAAGTGAGAGACACTGAAGTATCCGTTTAATTCCAAAGGGCCTATATAATTTCCAGAACAGCACTAAGAGATATCACACAAAGGGGAAAACGGCTCAGACCAGGGTTTAAAATGACCCGCATTCATTTTTTTTTTTTTTGATGAGGCTGAATGAATTCTGGGATGGTGTAGCAAACGTTCAAGGTTTTATTTACCATTCTTGAACAGAGCTGACGAAACTAATCTGCCTTTGCAGTTGGCGCACCAATTTCTTGCACAAGAATGTGGGCAGGGTCCATGACATATCGAGCAGTTTTAAGTGTGCATTATGAAAACGGTTGCAGATGAATCTTTTCTGTGGCATAATTAGGCAGAAACTGATAAAGACATTAAACCAGTTTATACCGGTCAGACTCATTCATCTCCACTATGGATCCTATTACACCCTGTGTAGTGGAAATTCTCAAAAACTCCATGTGATGCATTCATTTGTGGGTATCTGTCACCCCCTGCCTGACATCTAACCTCCGTGTCTTCTCTCTTCAGAGGGGGGCCAGGAAGGCCAGGACCACTGCCTAGCCCTTCCCTGCCACAGGGCCCCGCTCTCCCTAGGGCCTGAGACAGCCTGCCACGCCGCTCGGGGAGAAGCGGAAGACCTTCGCCCAGCCTCTGGCCCAGAGATGCGCTTGGTTCTTGTTGGCCCTCTTCCTCCCCACCCATGTGATTAATTTAGGGGAGGCCACCAAGGAATGCCGACAGTACCACGCTCCACACCTGCCCTGACCCCTTATCACAGGGGGTTTTGTAAACATCACTGCAGTCTTTCCTACTGAGCCCAAAGGCAGCCTCTGAACATCGACACAGAGCTCCAGGACCCGTAAACTCACAGGAGATGAAATCTTTGGGCCACGCCCTGGACTTCAGCCCCAGGCCACCCCTGTGGACGACCATCTCTGATGCAGTTTTACCTACAATTCGGGGTCGACCTACGGGACACCCTGCGTGCTGTGATCTGGAACATGCTGCACGTGCCGTACGTACGGTTCTGCTGCCCCCCTCTTACTGCTGGAGACCATATCTTGGGTTTGTCCACAGAAGATGGGCCCAATACCTGCCTTGTTTTAACCCAACCCTACAGGAGGGTTTTCAGCACAGGCCCTCGCCTCTCTCAGTCTGCACCTTCCAAAAGCAACCAACCAACCCTGCCATGGAACACCCGAGAGAGCACAGCCCCAGTCTCCACGGCATGGCACTGACACCTGGGTCCCCAGACCTGCTCACACAGAGATAAATGTGGCAGCTCACAGGAGCCTCCTCTGAGGTTTATTTTTAATTCCAGGCATAAATTAAAATTACAAGCAACATCTTTTACTGGTCCTGAAACTTCACTTACAGGACCTTAATCACGACTCTCAATAACCTGCTTTTAACCAGTGTATATAGCAAAGTAAGGTTGTTTAGGCTTTCCGCAGTTGAAGAAAAGCACATCGGTTTGAATTAAGCCCACTGCGAACACAGACTGTGTTTCCTGCTTTGGTAAGCGGCTAACTGAATGCCAGCCTGCTTTCAAAGTGGTGCCTGGCCTGCTCTGACATGCCACAGCGAGCACTCTGGTTCCATCCTGCTTGCATTACTGAAAATGTTCACTTTGACAGACATTTCTCAGCAGACCTGCTTCCAAAAAACACAGTCCCAAATACTTCAAATTATAGAGTAATTATAAATCCCCTACTTTCTCAATATTAGAAAGACAAACAAAAATGTCAACAACTAAAATGAGCTCCATAATTTATGCACAACGAGAAGCATAAAAGGTGACGGGAATGGAGAGCTCTCCCAACAAGCATCATCTAAAAGCAGGACCATTTAAAATCCACGGACACTGAAGCGTGGATGACATTCACCGTGCACACGACCAAGCAGCTACTTTTCCTTTACTCATGAGAACCCACGTCATTGTGGATCTCAATTCCACAAGAAACTTGTGTTACTTCAGATGAAGTCTAAACCTGCCCTTTTTCAGGCTCTCAAAACCAAGCAGGGGGAGACCCTGGAATGTTCCAAGGGCATCGTTACCTGGTGCAGGCTGTCGTTCGTTCCATTCTGTGGAGATTAAGATTTCTACAACTTTTAGGAGGTGTTCAGTACTCTCAGAACTATAAAAAAAAAAAAAAAGAGTTCTATCAGAAACGTTTTCCCTAAAAAACAAGCTCATTTTCATTTACACACATCCCAGTGTTAACACGCATGTGCATCGGGGAACTAGAACCTTCAGAGTCAGGGTGACAGCCAGTCAGCCCAGGACCACCCTCGCCACCCAAAAACACGCGTTTCTCTTCTCTCACTCACCTGGCTGCTGGGAATCGGAAAAGCAGAGGGCTGAAAAGTTCAGAGAGCACTCTCGCAGTCAGAAGGTTTTTGCTGGAGCTTTGGGAGAGCTTGAAGAAATGTTTGAGCAAATACTGAAACGTAAGCCAATACTGATGAGGTATGTTAGGTGACCTAATGAGCTTCTTCAACAGCTGGATATATTCTTCTGAGCTTTGAACTTCTACAAGTTAAAAAAAATAAAGGAATGAGGAAAAAACAGTAAGAGATTGTTTCTAAGTATCACTGAATAAACACGTAGAAAATTTTTGTTCTCCTAGCTATAGAAAAGGGAGTCATTCAAAACAAAGTCATCGGGAGAAGGAGACAGTCCATTTGTTCTTCTCATTAGAAAGGGCATTGTGAGAAAGTAGAAGTCTCAAGTCAAATGGAAATGTAAGAAGCTCTTGGTGTAAAAAAAGAAAAAGACACACAAGAGGTTCATGGTGTTCGGGTAGAAACCTGCCCTCTACGGAGCAGCTGCAAGTGTGATTGGCTGACTGGGAGGAACATCAGATAAGTATCACAGGTTTTAACTTTGAAGGTTACAAACCACAGTTTCCTGTCCCCAAAGCACTTTAACTGAGCATTAGCTCCTAAAACTGAGAGTCCTTTTCCTTCAACACTTCTGTAATGGCCACTTGAAGATGATAAGAACATCCCCAGTCACTGGGTGTTGGTCCCTATCCCCTGGACCCAAGGGTGCCACTTGGAACACTGTGGCCCCACGGACACGATGAGCTTTGTCAATGCCGACAACGGTTAACAAGTAGCCATTTGAACATGTGGACAGTCTTCCTGAGCAGATGAGAATCTGGGTGTTCTACTGCAGCAGTCCCCAACATTTTTGGCACCAGGGACTGGTTTCGTGGAAGACAATTTTTCCACAGACCAAGGTTGGGGAGGGGGCGACAGGAGGCGGAGCTCAGGCCTGGGGAGCAGCGTGACAGCTCCGGTGGTCATGCTGTGGATAGGGGAGGAGGGAGGCTGGGGACCCCTGTTCTACTGGATGCCAGTGGAGGGAAGTTGAACTGACCGGAGAAGTGGGCAGGGTGGTGGGGCAGGGGTCGAGGGTAGGCTGGGGTGGGAGGAAAGATTCTTAATATTTTCTAGAAACTAGCTCTTCATATGCGGAAGTTACAAGCACATCCACATCTCAGTATGTGTCCAGTGAGGCTCTCAGAAGAGAAAACAAACCTTGGGCTAAAGAAATCATCTCATTGTAAACGGCTAATGGGATGACAGGGTTCGGCAGGTCCAAGAGATAGCGTTTGAAAGCGTCTGCTAAAACTTGAACATCAACTGTTTCCAAGTCCATGGAGGCGGCATCTGTGATAAAAACATTTTTAAGAAATTACTTCAGACATTTTATACATTGGTTGGACCAATTTTCTGAACGTCTGACTTCAGTATGACACAAGAAAGGAAGCAACGAGGACCGGTACGAGTTTCTCACAGGGGCTGCTCCTTGCATTTCGAACAGAACAATTCTTCTCTGTATGGGCCTGTCCCCATCACAGTAAGCATTTAGCAGGATGGCCCTTCCCATGACGCCAGGAGCATATTCCCAGACTTTGTGCCCACGATCCACGTGTCGAGGCCCCCACTCCCAGTGCCTGGGAATGTGACTGTATTTGGAGGCAGGTCTGAAGGGGGCTTTCGGTTAACATGAGGCCACTACGGCGGGCCCTGACCCAGTCTGACTGGTGTTCTTGTAAGAAATGGGGAAATTTAGACACACGAAAAGACACTGGGGGCGCACGCACAGAAGAAATGCCACGTGAGGACACAGCAAGAAGGCAGCCATCGGTAAGCCAAGGAGCGACATCTCAGAAGAAGCAGAGCTGCCTTGATCTGGGACTTCCAGGCACAAGCACTGTGAAAAAAGAGGATGCTATTTTTTTAAACCCCTCAGTCTGTACGATTTTGTTACAGCGGCCCTAGCAGACTAATGTAACCCCCCAACATTTCCAAATACCCTTTGCAGGGCAGTTTTGCCCCACTGAGAGGGTGCTGCCTAGGGCTGGCTATCATCCAGTCAATGCTTCCTAAAACCTCAACAAGAAAACGAGAGATGCAAATCTACAGAATTCTGAAAATCTGAGTTGCTAAATCCTTTATTTCAGAATTAACATAAATTTAACCCAACAGAGAGACTGATGAGACAGTAAGGTATTATAGAATTTTAGCAATCTCAAGAATATCCATGAAAATAACTGGAGCTTCTTCAGAACATTTCTCCCTAATTCTGACAGGGCCTTATGACTAGCGTGTTACTACTCTAAGCAGTGGGCTCTAACTGCCTCAGAAGAATGTGAAGATGAGTGTATCTGTCCACCAAACCCTTCAGGGGAAGGAAAGAGATCAGGTCTTTCAGCGCGGGTGGTGTGGACCAAAGTCTCCCTGTGAGGGCTTGCGCTAGAGACACCAGGGCCCAGCAGAGGAAGGGAAATGCGGGGGGGGGGGCGCAGAGTGGCCATCGAGAAACCAGAGGCGTCTGGCTGCTGCTCCTGGGTGCCCCCTAGTGCCATGAAGGGTCACTTGAAAATTATCTGGAGACTCAATGGAGGAAAGGGGAGCTCATGGGCAAAATGCTACATTTTTCGACAAGGCATTATGAATTGTGCTGTTAAAAATAAGAAAAGCAGAGCTGCTGGAAGTGAAGATAACACTTTTGTTAATTTGAACTCTGATACAGCTAGAAATGTGTGAGACATTCGCAAGAATTAACATAATGTAGTGACTGAGGGGAAGAGGCTGGGACTGAGACGAGAATGAGGAAGAACCAAAGTTTACTCTGGGGCATCAGAGCAGGAGGAGAAGAGGGGTTCTGGACACGGAGAACCACGTGTGACACTGGAAATCGCGTTAGGTTGCGTCTGAAGCTGCAGAAGTTCCTTGGACACATACGTATCATCATCCAAACTTGCCCAACCGACTAGGCAGATTTTATAAAAGATAACCAACCACACAATACCATATAGCTCAGAGGTGTTCATCTCGCAGAAAATGTGGATAGGTTAGTTTGACTAAAAGAATTATTACACTTAACAGGGAGAAAAATCAAGGGGTTAAACCACTTAAATGTCCGACAGAGGACTGATGAGAGACAGTGCATCCCTAACAAGCCTGAGAAAGTGATACTAGGTCTGTGCGTAAAGGAGCCACCTCAGAAGTAATGCAGCTCCTCACAGGGGACTGCCAGGCAGCACTGTGGGTGCGTCCGCACAGGAACATCCGCTGCCACGGGCGGGTGGGCACACTGCTGCCCGCCTCTCATACTTTGCCCTGTAGACGTTGTTTACTATGTCTCTTTGCTAGCAAATTAAATTGCTTAACTTGTTATCCTTTAAAATTGATACACCAAAGGGTGATGTGGTATAACTGTTGAGACAATAAGTATTCCAGGTGTCCCTCCATGAAGCAGGGTTTCTGCTACATGCTTGGGGGGAGAGCAGCGCTGACGAGTTGTATCTCTGCCACGACACTTTGTGGAAACACGCTAATGGTGTGTCTCCCTACCACACTAACAGCACCTCAAGGGCACAAACTACGGCTCTTACTTGTTCCCCTGGCTCCCCCAGGGCCCAGCCCAGCACACAGAATGTGCCTGTTCAATGTTTGTGGACTGAACTATAAAATGTCCTTAGAGTAAGGCTTTGCTGTATTAACATTATACATGAGGTGCATCCCAAAGAATCTTTATAGTCTGAATGAAATAGCTTTATTTCAAGTCTTTGCATTAGCTCACCTTTTGTCAAATTCTGCTAGAGTTTGTGACATAGTATGTTCTATTATTTTTTAATGTAACTTCTAAAGCTTCTTAGAGTTTCTGATTTCTGTCCTGTGTCTCCTTTGTTGCATTACACCTCTTCCAAGAGCAATGCAGGACTTTAGAAGCCAGCTAGATGAGAGCTACACACTTTCTAAGTCTAGGTCGGGGGAGTTTACATCCTCCCCTCCCCAACGTCACACTGAGGCTACTTGTGACAGGGAACCGGTAACGTCCCCAGGTGTCACCCTTCCCCCAGCCGGAGTGGCGTTCTCTCCTCTGCTGGTCTCTAGCTGGGTCAGTAGTTCTCAGTTTTGCTGGCAATGTCTGGAGACATTTTTGGTCACAACCAGGGGAACAATGGCATCTAGAGGGCAGAGGCCAGGGATGCTGCTACCCATCGTATCTTGCAGACAACAGCTCCCTACAACATAGAATTATCTGTCCTGAAATGTCAAGTGTTGAGGTTGAAAAGGCCTGATTTTTAAACACTGAAATATAACTGACATATAATACTGTATTAGTCTCAGATAAACGACAAAAGGATTTGTTTCTGTGTCTATCGTGAAGTGATCATCCCAGTAAGCCTTGTTAATTTTTTTTTTCTAATGAAAACTTTTAAAGATAAAGCCTGATTCAGGTTAAGGAAAACCAAAATAGTCAGGGAAAAATTAAAACCATTAAAATTCAAATGAGAAAAGAAGAAAATAATTCATTTTGGGACAAGATAGTGGGGGAAAAAAGCATAAGGACTTTTGGAGTCAGAACGATTTGGGTGTGAGTCGGAGCTTCGCCACCAGCAGTAACGAAGACTTACGGCACAAGGTTAAAGTGTGGACGAAGTCAAAGACCTCAGCAGGTGGCAGCCAGAGTGGGCCGCTGCCTTCCTGCCTCTTCTTTCCAGACGCTGGTGATCCACGGGGTTGGCTAACAAAGGTCATGTTTCTTCACTTTGTTCAGTGTAATGACTCACCTGTGAGCCTCTTCCAGGATACAACAATATTTTTATGAATTGAAAAATCCTCTCAAGCTGCAAAGAGCTCTGGTGGATCAACTCCTATATTTAGATAATGTTTACTCTTTTTTTTTTGGCCACAAAATCCACTTTCATAGTATCATACAGAACCCAAATGAGACCAGTGTTCTATGTGTGTGTTTTGGTCTCAAACAGGGAAGGAAAGCTGTCTGTCAAAATACATCGTTGACGTGAATTTGGTTATTTATTCCATCTCACAAGTGGTGTAAAGATTTTTTTTTAAGCTGAACTGCATCATTTGTGTTTGGTCGCATTTGAAAACTCAACCACTATTTCTCAAATAACTCCCATTTCATCGGTCTCTGGTGTCTGAACACTTCCTGTGACATGTTCAACTTGACCGATTTTCTGACCAAAACAAGTATCACTATTTCAATTGGCTAAAAACAAAGTTCAGTGTTTCCTTAACACCCTAGCAAAGCTGTTAAGAAAAAAGAAAAACATGTCTTTCACTTACAGTTTTATGCCAGCTACCTTTGAATGGCCTACTCTGTGTGTAAGACAGAAGACACAACAGCAAAGAGGATATATCCCGTACAAGGGTAACCCGATTTCCATGTACAAAGGAAAAAAATAGAAGTTAAAAAAATTTATTTTTAAGCTTCAAACATTCGGGTGGAGCATTTCAAGTGAACCTATTCACTGATAAAGATCTAATCTCCTTCTTTTTCCCCAGAAACGTCTTTTCTAAAAATGTTCATAAGGGGCCTCATTTTGAAGCTGCCTCACACTTCGAATTCTCATTTGTTAACTACCAGGTAGACATTCTTTGCACACATGTCCCAAAGAGCTTCTTGCAAAAGTGGGTTTCACTCTTTTCCATTCAAACATGCATCAGTTAAAAGAGTGTGAGGCATAAACTTAATTTTCTAAAATGAAACTGTTGAAAGGGAATGAAGGATCTGAGAGATTCTAGAAGCTGATAAAAAAAAGAAAAGATGAGTTGCAGGAATGATGGCAAGTGAATGTACTCACATTTGTACAGTTTTATTCTGATGGCAAAGGAAAGGACAAATAATAAAATCACCACTTGGCTGGATAAATTGATGTCATTGAACCAATGGTGTGGAGGAGCAGGGTTGCACCCACACACAAGGGCCACTGGGACTGTGCCCAATTCTGCCCAAGTTGGAGTTCAGTGACAATGTCAGAGCTGAAATTGATCATGGTGAGGATATTTACGCCATGGAAATGGGCAAATGAGACAAACCAGGGCTTTTTCTCCTCCCTCAGAGCTGGTTTACTGGTACACCATGGAACACAACAGCACCGTGATGCTAATGTAAACATGGCATGAAAAGGCAAGCAAACGAGAAAGGGAGAAAGCAAGACAGAATGAAAGGAAAGGGAAAAGAAAAGGAAAAAGAAGAAAAGGAAAAGGTCAAAAGAGACATTTGTTAAATGACACAGACTTAAAAATATTTTTTAAACTGATCCAGATGAACTGGATGTAGCCAGCTGCAGGGTCAGAGAAAGATGGTAGCTATGCAGAGCCAGGGAACCCCAAGAGGCTGTTCCTCTCCCAATGCGATGCCAGCAGGACCCAGAGGCTCTGGCGGTGATGACGACTGGCATGTCTAGAGGCAGGCATGCACACACGCCCCAACACAGGAGACAAACTGGGCTCCCTTCAAACTTTAAAACCTTACATGGTTTTAAATTCAAGTGTTTCGTGCTTTACCCGACTCAGAATGGTAAAAACTGTCTTTGTTATTTGTATCCGTAGTTCCAGGACACTCACCACAATCGAGAAGCTGTCGTAGTTCCGCGGGGTTGCTGGAGCTCTGTGTTCTGTATAGAGTTGAACATTCCAGACCTAGGACATGAAACAGAGCGAGTATGCAAAACACAGCTCTCTGGAGAACCTGTGAGCCGGCTGCCAGAAAGACATTCCAGTTTCCATCCAGTATCTATTCTAGATGTGTACCAAATATTCTTGGAAGTCAACTCCTACAATTAATCTTATCTGGCATGTCAATAATTTTGGCAAAATTTTCTGGCCACTAAGGAACCAGTCGATTATATTTCTTAAATTATGGAGAACTTAATAGTTCCCATACAGGGACTGCATGTTCATATGGAGTTAGAAATCAGACCAAGGTTATGGCCTTAGCACACAGCACAAACCGCGGTGTGTCTAGCACACATATTTAATGAATGCCCAAAAGACAAACATAAATCTTAGCACCAACGAAACAAGGTTTACAGCAAATTAACTCACTCCCTCTCCCCCTCGAATTACCTTTCTTTTCAATGGCTTCTACTAGCTTGATAAGAAGAGGCGGAGCAATGTCAGGAGGGGCAAACTGTTCTGCAAGGTCCGGAAGGGCCACAGCTGCAAATAAACCAAATCCAATGACTATATTTAATCTGGGGCCATCAAGTGCATTGAACCACAGTGAAGAAAGTTTAAATACAAAATAATGTCATTCTGACAGTAGCAACCCGGGCCCCAGTAAGAGACAGCCCTGTGCCCGGCCCGCCCTTTAGAAGACTCCTCTCCGGGCCTCTTCCCATAGTGTCAGGAGTTTGGGGGGCCAAGGAGACATGGCCTTCTCTCCTAGGACACTCTCAGAATACTTCCCCAGAATCCCCAAATTCCCTGCCCCGATGGTTCCCCGGGCTGCCCTCCAGCCCAAAGAGCTCAGGATGGAACAAGTTTGAATGTGCAAGGCCCCTGAAAAGCCACACTCTGGGGCAGAATTTGGAGCCCAAGAAATCTAAATTCAAATCTAGCCTCCTGGTCATTACGAAGAAATAACTGTCCAGGCAGGAGAACAGAACAGATTTTACTGAACAGTTCGTTAATATGACTTATAACTTTAACATATTCAGACACAGGGTGTGTGGGTCTCCTTTTGCACTCTTGTCCCAGGTGCCACAAATGTCAGGGCTGGGCCAGTATCAGATCCAGAAGCCAGTACACGTGACCACAGGCCACCTGACCCTCAGGTGAAGTCCCCGTGTGCCTGCTGTCGAAGCCTTGATTTGCTCACATTATTTTGGTCAGTAAATACCTTCAGAAATGGTATGCTTTCAGAAACCCATTTTCCATGCTCTCTTTACATATTTTAGTAATTATAATGATACAGTAAAAAAAAAACCTTATTGGATGACACAAATATCTTTCAACATTACATTGATAACTGTATTCTTACTCCAAAAAAATGAAACTATTTTAAAGAAAAGTTTTTTTTCTCATAATAAGCCAGAAGAGGGAGCTAAATATATTCACCTCAAATTTCTCAAACAGCATAAGTAAAATGATAGTATTTATGAAAATAACTACATGTGCATCAATTAATAACTTTTTAGACATTACCATTCATCACTGTATACTCCTATCTAGAAGTAGTTTATATAATCTAAGAAACACTAAATATTTGTGATTTTGTTTCAATGAGATTTTAGGTGTGTGATTATTATAAGCCATATATATGTTAATAAGCAAATTTCTTATGAGGGCCATCTTTCTAATACTACTACTCTACCAGGACAATGACAGATTTAAGATTCTAAAGTAAAATCATGTTACTAAATTTTGACCTCAGAGAATCAGTGACCTGGTACCACTCTGCAAAACCTGTACTCTATGGTTGAAGGCCCTTTCAGATGGCACCATGCCCATGACAGACAACATGTGATCTCGCCACCTGTCTCCACTCGCCACTGCCACTACCTGGGATAAAGTCATGGAGCGAAGCTGTATAGCAGCACCATCCTGCAGAACTTCATGTGATGATGGAAATGTTCTAATAGTTGTGTTCGTCAATAGAGCACATGTGGCCACTGAGCACTCGAAATGTAGCTACTGGGACTGAGAAGCGGACTTTTTAATTTTTATTGATTTAAATTGAAATGGCTGTATGAGCCTCGTGACCACAGTATCGAGAGCACAGTCTGAGCAAGGGCAAACCCTGTCAACAGGGCTGACCGACATCTGAACCCAGGGCTACCACGCAGGTTCCTGGGTGACGCTGTCCTACACCACCGAACGCATTTTGCACTTCGTAAAGGCAGATCAGATATGCCACTGACTTTCCAGACGAGAGGTCACTATCCAGAGAGCTGAGTGAGAACTTTTGCTCTCCGGTTTCTGCCTGAGCCCACGGACCACCTGGAGAATTTGCTAGGAAATCAAAGTACCACCACAAACCTCTGGAACTGGAATATCCAGGAACAGAGTTAGTAATCTGTTTGGGGTTAGTAATAAGTCTTAGGATGTGCTGTTATGATAAACAAGTCCATGGGGGTGGTGACTGCCTGAAAAAGTCCTGCAATGACTCCTCCCAATCTCTAAATGTTAAAACCTAAGTGTATCTGAAAAGCACTTAAAATACAAAGGTCTTGAAAGTTTCACATAGACTTTTTAATTGAAAACATTGCAAAATGAAAGAGCACACCATGTCATTTCCTCTAACTGTAAACTACTTCCCCTTGCCTTCAAAGAGTACCAGCTCACAAAATATCCTCCCCCCATTGATGCCTTCTCCACGGAACGAGGTGCCGTATCCTAGCGGCATACGCAACAGAAGCAAAGCATAAAGTAGAGAAATGTACAGAAATGTTATTAAGTAGAATTCACCCTAGTGCCTTTCCTTAGCCCTCTCAAACTTACAGGGCTGAGCACACGCCAAGATGCAGAAAGTTAAAGATTAAATTGTAAATACAGGAACCCACATATCCACCCAACATTCATCCGATTAACTAGCCCAGCACCATTTTCTCTTCCCTCATACATTACACAAGCATTGTGCTTTTTAAATTAAAAAACAAATCCCTGAAGTTGGCAACTGAAAATGGAATTACTTAATAAAGGTTTATCTCCTTCCAGAATCTTATCGAAACAATCATTTCTGCAGGCAAATATGAAAGTTAAATTAAGTGATAATTAACGATTTCACCTCACTGCGATTGGAATATACACCCAACAGCTGCTGTATTACTGGGCTGGTACATACTACACGTGAAAGTGTCTCTATCTTCGTATTGGACTTCTTCACTGCAGTCTGAAAGGGGAAAAAGGCAACCCCTTTCCTTAGTTCTTTCAGTGATTCCTTGAGGGGGAAAGACGGTAGTTTACTTTCAGTATCCTGAGTTACAAAGTATCATTTGTTTCTCTCACACAAGTGTTAGATGAGGTTTAAGCACGGTGACAGCCACCAGGTCTCTGGATCTTTTCTCAGAGTGCACACCAGAACACTTCAAAAAGAAAAAAACTGGATGTCTACAGTAAAAGGCAGAGCTATTCCTTTTGAAAACACGGAATTTCCCACTGAATGGTTAATACTGAAAAACGCTCTATCACCTAAATGTATGAATCATCACAGCTGATCAAACTTTTGCAATGGGAGTTGTAAAAGGTAAATTTTACAAGGAGAGGCCATTTTTAAAATAACAATGCAAGGATTTCCTATTCTGTGACTCAATCCGTTTCCCCTTTAACATATTATAACATAGGGAAAGTGGCAGCGGTGCCCAGAATCCCTGAGGTTCACATCTTTTATTTCAGACGACAGGGCCAATTAACACCAAAAGTCTAAAAAAATATTCTAAAGCACAATACTAATTATTTCAACAATCCTAAAATCAACTATTCCTTTAATTACACTAAATATTCAAGGTCAATATTTACTTTTTTCATGAGATCCCATTTTAACGAATCCCAACAGGAAATGCCAATTGCCAGGAATTACCAAATTTGGCAACTTGTTCTTTAAAAAGTCCATGATAAAGCCCCACATCACACAATTCAATAAACCAAAGCATAATGGAACTAAACAATATATACACAAACACTATGGATCATATACAGAGATTTGCACGACCCTCACAAAGTTTACATATAAATTCTCATTAGATTTCATCTTCCAGACAGACTTTTATGCCTTAATGAGAAATGTATTTTAGTTGTTGAGTCCTGTGGTAGCCGGTATATAAGTGGAGAGCCTAGTCCACTGTTAAGAATCTGGTGAGTACGATTTCTATACCATAATCCAATACCAGTTTTTCACTTGGTTGAATCATTTTTTTCATCAGAAGAAATCAGTATTACTTAAGGTGAAAGAAGACAAAAAAGAACAGTAGAAGGGTCTAAAAGCGGTGAAGCCGAGACACACAGTTTCCTTAGAAAAGAGGAATTAGTCTTCCACATCTAACTGTGCGCCCCAGGTTGTAGAAAGAATTCCTGATGACACATCAGATTCTGTGTTTTGCACTCGTTCTATCTCCCCCTCTTTGCCCTGGTGACAACCGATCGCACAGAACAGAAGGGAGCCTTCCCTCCAAACTCAGGCCCTTCCCAAACCACTAACGTGGACAGGCCCGCGCACGGCCCTGGGGCACCGGCCGTGTGTGGGAGACAGTGGCATTCCTCGCACTGACTGGTGCCAACCCCGCTGCAAAGTGCAAGCTGAAACCAGCCCGCAGCCGCACCTTTCGGAGGCGTTCTCTATAAAAAAAGATATTTTAGACTTGGTGCCTGGCAGGGACGAATGGAAAGTTTAAGCCGAAATTCTGGGACTCCAGAGACTGCTCCAGCCAAGTATTTCATTACTGATGGAAGCAGCTTGGAAGTGTATGAAAAACTGCCACTTAGCTTTTAAAATCTAATACAAATACACAGAAAAGAAAGTGAATATGCAAAGGGTGGATCAGTATTGAATCAAGATGTTTGTCTAATCACTGTTGCTGAATCCAAACTTGATTTCTGTCTGAAACAATCTCTCTCATTATTTCAAATAAAAAATGTATATTCTGGTGGGCAAGAATTACTTTTCTTAAACCTTATAAGCATATTTATATGCATATAATGGTTATACACATATAATGGTTAATATCTTGACTATTTAAACTTCTTAAGCTCTAAGAGCAAAGCCACAACAAATGCTAAGAACTACAGCTATAATTAAGCAAAGCAAAAAAACAATGATGGGTTCCTTAATTTTGGAGCATACTTGTTTAACTAGCAGTAGAGAAATTATTAAAAGCATAGGTTTAAGGCCAAAGAGACCGGGGTTTTACTTGTGGTTTTGTCACTTACTGAATGTAATCTCGGGCATGTTAATTAACTTGAACCTCAGTTTCCTCATCTGTAAAGTGGGGATAATTACTAGTGTAATATTGATTCAATCAATAATATAAATCAACATGGTAGGCATAGTGCCCAGTATGTAGAAAGCACAAACACATGGGTATCTATGATTAATTTAGAATCATTCATATATCCTTTTTCATTATTGTTGTTAATGGATTTTTTAAATACTCAACTGCAAAGACATTTTAAGACCAGAAACTATTATTAAGAGAGAATTCTCAATACTTTTTTTAAAGATT